CGGGTTCGTGCCCCGCTCCGGGAAGATCCCACATGCCGCGGAGCGGCTGGGCCGGTGAGCCATGGCTGCTGAGCCTGCGCGTCCGGAGCTTGTGCTCCGCAACGGGAGAGGCCCCGGTAGTGAGAGGCCCGCGTACCGCAAAAAAAAGTAATGAAATGATCTATAAAGTCTGTGCTTTGCTAATTGGAAGAGTACATCCTCATATTTTCTGCAGACTGCTTGCTTTGAAATATATTTCTAAACCACAACTTGATCGATGTTTATGGGTAACCAGGAGTGTAGTGAACACTTATTTGTTTGCCAACAAGGCCATCAAGGAGTGTTCATTTCAGGATGCTGTTTGGACACCGGGTAAATTTTACGACTTTGTCCTTTGGGTTCAACCTCGTGTCTGACTATGTCATTTTAGGGAGTGTGTGACAATAAAGCTGAATTCTTAACTGAGGAGCCAATACCCTTTATATAATTGCTTTGTATGTTTGGACATACTGGAGAAATTTTACTTTCAACAAAGAAAATAGTTGGTATTTTCAACCTCACTCCCAGTAGTCAGTCAGGTGTAAGTTCAAAATAAGTTCACCCTTTGATCTAACAGCAAACTTGCAGTTTTCTTTGGCAAGTCAGCCTCTGAGCTTCCTTATCTGTAAAATGGGGATAAGGAAATGTAGGCTGTCTTTTTCAAAGGATGTGTAAGAATGGAGTGACATCACACATGTAAAAAAAAAAAAGGCTTTGCAAACTTACTTGAGTCTGAATGTTTAAATAAAAGATGGACCACTCTTTCTTTAAACTCAGCACCTCTCCTGTTCTTGTCTTTCTCTTCAGATTGGTGAGAAACCTGTGCTTAGTCATTAAGTTTGAACGGTACTTAAAGAACTAGTTTAGCAGAGGAGGCAGATAAATGTCTAACCAACCCACCCACTCTACTTATTTTAGAATCTTTGTGGGTCTTCATTCCCAAATTTTTATGATTGATGGTAGCATCATTTCACTTCTTCTGTTTTCTTCTCTTTTTTCTTCTGTTTTCCTACTGATATTTTTTTTGTCTGATTGCTCTATCAGTTACTGAGAGGGGTGTATTAAAATCTCCAATTGTGACCGTGGATTTCTTTATTTCTGTCAGTTTTTTGCATTTTGTATCTTGAAGCCCTTTTATTAGGCCCATATACATTTAGTTTTTCTGTCTTTCTCATGTATTAACCATTTTATCATTATGAAGTTTCCCACTTTATTTCCATTACTACTCCTTGCTTTGAAGTCCTTTTTGCCTCTTTTTAAAATTTTATTTATTTTTTTTTGCGGTACGCGGGCCTCTCACTGCCGTGGCCTCTCCCGCTGCGGAGCACAGGCTCTGGACGCACAGGCTCAGCGGCCATGGCTCATGGGCCCAGCCGCTCTGCGGCATGTGGGATCTTCCCGCACCGGGGCACGAACTCGTTTCCCCTGCATCGGCAGGCAGACTCAACCACTGTGCCACCAGGGAAGCCCTTGCCTCATATTTTTATGACGATTCCAGCTTGCTTATGTTTCCTGTTTGCACGGCATGTCGTTTTCCATCCTCTCACTTTTCATTTATTTGTATCTTTGTTTTTAAAGTGTCTGTAGTGAGAACTAAAGAGAGAAGACTGATTAAAAAGAGCAGTAACCAACTCTGTGCTCGCCAATCTGACAATCTCTGCCTTTTGATTGAAATGTTTAGTTCATTTCTCCTATGAAGTTTTCAGTCAGGGTTTTGCCTCAAACCATCATTTAACATGTTTTCTATTCTCTTTTTTCCTCTTTATATTGGGAGTTAGATCAAGATGTTTGGTCAGATTCAATATTGTATTTTCTTCCCTCCCTCCCTCCCTCCCTCCCTCCCTCCTTCCCTTCCTTACTTCCTTCCTTTTGGGTAGTAAGTGTTGTGTGTTTTATTAGGCAGCTAATACCTGGCATTACTAAATCGGTTTTATCACTAGAGGTTACAAAACGGTGATATTCTATCATTCCATTTTCATTTATTAGACAGAAATATTCTACAAAGAGGAACTTCACCTCCAACTGTTTGGTTACCTTGAAGAACAGTTCATATAGGAATGGTTGGATAAATGCTTTATTCTTTTGCCAGTTTTTAAAATAATGAGTTGTATAGTATCTTCCAGAGACACTGGGGAGTTTTTAAAGAAATGTATAAGAATTTATAAGGATTTCTGCCTTCTCTGAACTCTTAGGTTAACCCCAAATTTGAAACAAAGCAGCCATTTTTTCCCCTTATCATAGACACTTTTATATAAATATTATGCCCTTCCCTTATTTCTTCCTCATGGTTGATTTTCTCTCTTGATTACTGTTAACTCTTTTCCTCTACTTTTTTCCCTCCCTCCCTCCCTTCTTTAATTTCCAGTACCTTCCAGCAATTCCACTTTAGCCACTGAAATTTTTCCCATGCCTTAGGGAGCCAGGACATACCCCAGTGGTCTCTGACCCAATTTTGGAAAGCAGCATCTGAAAGTATTTAATTTGATTGTTTTTACAACTTGTAAGTTTTTATTCAGGCAGTTGCAAAGGAATCCATAGAGGGGAAAAGTTCAGTATTGACACTAATGGGGTGACCACAAAAAGCCCAACCACTTCATGAGCACACAAGACATTTAGCCAGCTACAGCCAGGCAGTGCTGTATGTATCTAGTAGATTATTCGACAAGAAAAGCTACTCGAGTAAAATCTTTCCGAGTGTATTTTTACTATAAGTTTTTACTATTAAGTAGATCATTCTTAGTCTATTTTCAATAATTCGTCTGTATAAAAACATTACATTAACTTCTGATTTTGTTTTTCCTTGAAGTAAAAGTTTAAGAAAATAGATTCTTTTTTTCCCCATCTAAGTGAGAAAGAAAAAACATACCATGTGACTTCCCAAGAAAGCCCTGTAGGTAGAGTTTAGCAATTCCCCCTCTACTTTTTCTACCAATGCAATTATTTCATGGCCTTTTGCCTGAATAATTCTAAGCTGCTTCTCTAGAGGAAATGAGTCAGAAGAAATAGGCTTGACATGCACTTCTGCCTTTGGAGACTTCTCTTGATATCTTGTAAATCCATGAGGCTTAATTAAATGCAAGTATTTTGACTTGTCTGCATATTTTTTCAATCTGCTTTTGATAATAAAATCTGTTTCTGGGATACTTTAAATTTAAAACCCTATGATATGTGTAAAATATCAATGCTAGAAATTGGAGAGATGCAAGTGGGTTCTGCTTTCTGTAGCCCCTACATAATGTCAGCACCTGGGGGCAGGATTCTGGGTGGCGGTAGAACTTGGGCATGAGGCAACTGTGTTGAGGTACATTCTGAAAGAGGAATGCTTAGCTGTGCAGTGACAACAGCAGGAACATATAAGGATGGCACTTGACATTGATCTAGCAGAGGAATATAGTCATTGGGACTTTGGCTAACTTTGTCCCTAGGGGGCTTTTGCAGGTCTTAAAAACTAGAGTAATTCCAAAATTCAGTTAAATTTGAAAATCTGATGTCTCGTTTGATCTGAGATTTATAAGGACTCAGCTGATCAAACTTCTAGATTAGGTCTAGACTCATTTCATTTTTGGTGTGTCAAGGTCTGGCAGCTGTAGGACACCCCTTGACTCCAGAGCCATCCTGGTTTCAGTCACTCCAGGCTAGGCCAATAGAGCAATAGATCCCCAAAGCAGAAGCAGGTAGAGGATATGAATGCCTCCTTTCTAGTATTCAACATGTATTCATTTAACAACTATTAAACATCAGCTATGCCAAGGATGGTGTTACAGCAGTCAACCATGGCACACATGGGGCCTGCTCGGTTAGTGCTGGTAGTGAGCTGAGCCCGCTCCGACCACCCAGGCAGGCCAAGAGCTGAGGGGGTCGTAAGCAGGAAGGCAGTGAGTAGTCTTCAAACTTGTTTTACTTGTATACCTCCCTACCAATTTTAGAAAAACCATGATACCTTGATGGATTTTTTTTTTTAAATCCAAAATCCTCATCATTACATTTAAATGTCTCAAATGATGCACTTTATCATGCATTGCAGATACTGACCTTTAAAATAAAATGTTACTTGTTCTTTTAAATGTATCCAGTGAAATCTTGGTATAACAGAGACTTGATAGCTACCATTTTCCATGTTTAAAAATA